AAACGTACAAGGGTGTGTATATTTACATGTACCTGGAGAAGGGGATGTATAGCCTAATTGTCTTTTCTGAAAAGAATCAAATTAGCAAAACAAAAACATGAAGTAACAGTTTAATTCAACAGTGAATCTAATTGAGGCTTTGTAAAGACATCGATTGTTAGATCAAGGTTAACCGAGGTCAAATGATACATGTACCTAAAAATATGTTTTGTTTAGCCAATCATCTTCAACATACGTACACCGACATGAAATCTGGCCTCAAAATAAGCAAACTGAATACAATAACCCACATACATGTAAGATGATATACGATAAGGTATGTGTGTAAGAAAACCTCATTCCTAAATCAATGTTGCTATTGTGTCAAACAAAGCTTTCCAAGGAAGAAATGCCATGTAAACAAAAACATACCAATTCACACAATTTTTTTTTAAACCCACATCCCCAAACATAAAATGTAAGAAACTAAAGTGTCACTTTGTCAATATAAAAATACTGTGAGACTGAATGTACATAACGACATTCTTATCCATACTGCAATCATGTGTACACTAGTAATGTATAAAACAGGCCTCATGGTTTAGAGGTATCCACATACATATGTACTACATCTGCAGCAACATACATGTACATGTAGGTGTTATGGTGCCCTATATGTACTGTACATGTAGGTGTTATGGTACCCTACTGGTACATGTACTGTACATGTAGGTGTCNCTGCACTTTTATTCTAAACAAGCAAGTTCAATAAATTGTTATTATTTTGGTTTGAGAAGAGAACAAAAATTAGTGAAGAGGAAAATGAGATGTGATACTGTTTCTTTAGATGTGTTAGTGAATCTGCCGGCAAATGTAAGCTAAACCAAACTGGTCCTGTGCCAAATCATTACGTATGGGGAATCATTAGGTAAAAAAAAAACACAGAATATTTGAACATTTACATACATGTACCAGAAGGAACTTGTGGAATAATAAAATGTGTCTATTGTACTGGTAAACGTTGCAGCTGTTCAGGAATATGTTTCAGTTTGAGCTTACATAATATAAATATTACAAGATATATGTAACCACAAAGCCATATGTACTTGATTTGTTTCAGTGCTGGTGAGCAATCTTTCACTGCCAGATACGCTGTACACGGTATTCCAGTAATACCAGCACATATGCGTATGTACATGTATGTACAGTACATTATGCGTTGTGTTTTTGTGCCCATGACTATAGAATTTCTCCTTTATCTTTTCCAATATTAAAGACACAATCGATGATGTACATGTAACAAAAACACTGACAGATGAGCACCGGCACACCTTTGTTCATTTTGTGTCACCTCTGTCAAACAGGCAATGCAAGGATTAGCACTTTAACCTTTCCATTATTTCTAGATCGATTTTAATCTTTTAGACCTTTGGATCAAGGATAAGAGATCAAGAAGCAATGCACGAATTATACATGTAGCAGGTAGCTTAGAATTTTATTAGACTGGGGAAGAATTGTGACCTGGTTTCTCGCCATTAGCCAACCTGAAAATCCTTGAATGAATTGGGAATCATTCACTATCAAGTGTTTACTTCTCACAGGCCAAACGTACAAGGGTGTGTATATTTACATGTACCTGGAGAAGGGGATGTATAGCCTAATTGTCTTTTTTTTAATTCTGAAAAGAATCAAATTAGGAAAACAAAAACATGAAGTAACAGTTTAAATGAACAGTGAATCTAATTGAGGCTTTGTAAAGACATCGATTGTTAGATCAAGGTTAAGCGAGGTCAAATGATACATGTACCTAAAAATATGTTTTGTTTAGCCAATCATCTTCAACATACGTACACAGACATGAAATCTGGCCTCAAAATAAGCAAACTGAATACAATAACCCACATACATGTAAGATGATATACGATAAGGTATGTGTGTAAGAAAACCTCATTCCTGAATAAGTGATGCTATTGTCTCAAATAAAGCTTTCCAAGGAAGAAATGCCATGTAAACAAAAACATACCAATTCACACAATTTTTTTAAAACCTACATCCGCAAACATAAAATGCAAGAAACTAAAGTGTCACTTTGTCAATAAAAAAATACTGTGAGACTGAATGTACATAATGACATTCTTATCCATACTGCAATCATGTGTAGACTAGTAATGTATAAAACAGGCCTGGCATGAAAGCCTCATGGCTTAGAAGTATCCACATAAATATGTATTACATCTGCAGCAACATACATGTACATGTAGGTGTTATGGTACCCTACATGTACTGTACATGTAGGTGTTATGGTACCCTACATGTACTGTACATGTAGGTGTTATGGTACCCTACA